ACAGACGAAATTGTATGCCGAAACTGTGAAGGAGGTAGGAGAGCAGGTTAGCATACCTGTTGCTGACGTATGGTCGGAGATCTGGGAGGCTGCCGGACGGGATGAGAGGTCCTGCGAGAGATTTCTGTCCGATGGCCTGCACCTAAATGCGGAAGGCTATGAGGTAGGGCGTGGACACGAGATATCATCATTGCGGGAACTTACCGCACTGCAGATCATTTTCAACTCGATTATGAAGATAGTTGCAGAGAAATACCCGGAGATTCATTATGAGAAGCTGCAGACTGTGTTTGTACCGTACGTCAGCCGAGCATGAGATACCGCGTGACTGACTAAAGGCTTGTAAAGGTGGTCTGAAGTAAATGTCGAGGACCCCCGTTCCTCGCCGGTCAAGAGGCGTGCCATGGTGTGAATTATCTCGTATACTATGTATATCCCTTAGAATACAGTTGCCATGGTATGCACTCACAATTGCGGAGGTTGCATATTCCGGTTGACCCCCTGGCTCGAAGTCGCGGTACATTTCATGCTGTTAAGGTGGGTTGTGTGGTGAGGAGAAAGTCCAGCCAAGCAGTCATACTAATCCGACGACAACTGTTATTTATCCGAACGCTAACCTTACTTACTCTGCAATAATACTTGGCTCGTTATGGGGAGCTGGACCATGGGAACATGGAGACTGACAAAAATACAAGACAAAAAGCACGTGACGAAAGTCAACTTGAACCAAAGGACGCCCAAACAACTGTTCTTTTCAACCAGCCCTCCTTGCCAGTTTGCCAGTGCAGAAAATACGGACAGGACGACGGGTCGCTTCATACCCACCTTTTTCGATTTGGAGACCTATATACCAATATTTGACTGGATCTATTATCCCCGGTGAGTTATTTGGGGGGTCAAAGAAGCGCGTCACTGACCTTATTATGGCAAGGGCGGAAACGCGGACCCACATTTGTCCATAACCAAGTTTGCTAACATTTCCTGTTCAGTATTCAAATTCCCGTGAGACCTTCTCTTGAGCCCTGTCGTTGCTTTCAACACACTTGCTGTACCGTAAATCCTTGCTGACCTCCATTTTCCCCCTCATATCCAGGCGCGGCCTCCTCCGTCAAGACATTCATTATCTTCAACGTGAGTTTTCTCTCCCACCTTGGAATCTGGAACCGGCGGTCTCGGCTCAGGCGAACCACGAGGTCCCTGTACGAGCTTCGTCCAGGTTGGGCGGACAATGCTCTCTCCTTTGTCCATTTCCCGCGACACTGCAATACTGATTATCGTGTTTAATTATCGTCGACAGCTAGTGGTTTTAATAAACACACCGGTGACGAACCAAGTTGCTTCGGGACCACATTCCGGTTGGTATTTATTCCACACTTGTTCAACTTCATCTCTCTCCTCTCAAGTCACGACCACTGACTATATCCCTTTCTCTCTCCGCTTTTTACGACTCGGAACATCCGCTTGTTTATTCAACTCACTTATTTCAAAACTGTTGTACAACCCGACACCTCGCGTCATGTCTGCTGCCTTCATGAAACGCCTTACAGATTACCATTCGAACAAGAGACTCAAACGAGAACACCGCGATTACAACTACGGACCTCAAGATATGACCTTCTTCTCTACTCTTTCGTCAGCATCCTCCCAGTATCTCAGTGCGCCTCTCGCGCCCATTCGCAAACGCAGCCAATACCTCAAACCAACTGATGACGTTGATGAATTCCTTTCCTCTGACCTCGAGCTGTCGTTTGCTTCCACCATGTCGCTCAACTCTCCTTCACGCGATTACGTGAGTATCACTCACGACAACATGCAAGACGACGCGATGGACATTTCTCCCGCGCCCTCCAAAATCGTCCATAAGGAGAACGCCCACCTTGGCAAGCCGATGAATCGCCCCCGCGCGTCCACAAGCGCTGCGCGCCTGTTCGGACAAGAAATGAGCAATGACAGCATGTTAAGCGATCCGGCATCTGATGCCAACTCTGGAACACAGTCCGGCTTGAAGCGCACTCAGCGTAGCGCACTACCTCTCGAGTGGGTCTCTACAAAGCCATTGAGAGTCGCGCAGACCTCTGATTCAAATATGTTCGCTCCTGTGAGTGCCGGCTTTCAAATGACCCCGATGGTTTAGGCATTGACTTGGATTTCCAGCCCCCCGAGGCACCTTCTTCCCCTGCTTCAGAAGATGCAATGGATGTGGACTCTGTACCTGTGGTTACCGGGGATCTCTTGAGCTCGCCTCTCCTATCCGCCGCCCCAACGATCACGGGATTTAACAATCTCTTTTATGGTACGATGTCACCTTCGCGATTCGAGTCCCCTGGGGCTCCTCAGCCAAAGAAGAGGCGTTCCCTGTCACCCGAGGGTGTCAGTCGCGTAGACCAAGAAGCTCCTTCCTCTCCAGCCCCCTCGTCCCCATCTCAACACAAGCTAGAGCGCATGGCGAGTGGGTCATTGTTGTCCAACTTCGCCAAACCGGGATTGCAGGGCCTTGGCGCTCCTTCAAACGGTCTCAAACGTCCTCGTCGCCCTGTGTTCTCTGCATTGGTACGTCCTGCGGAGAGTGGTGCCTCCTCCGCATTCCCTACAATGGAGTCAGGAGAATCCCCTCAGCAGAGCCTAGTGCATCCGAAATTTGCTCCTACTCGCCGTGTAGTATCTGCAATGCTCCCGCCTACTGGCTGCGAGCACTTGTCTGATGAATCTTCCTTTGACGGTCCAGACGTATCTTCCCCTGCCCAGGCGTACACGAAACGCCAACATACCAAGACTATTCGTCGCCGTGATGGGACAGAGGACTTTCGGCCTCTCACGGGCGCCAGCCCTGTTGTGCAGAAGGAGGTTGCCGAGAGTCCATCAGCTAAATTCATGCTCGCAGGCTTTGGCGATAACGAGACTCTGGGAAAAATTCTACCATGTCATCGTGTCCGCGAGGACGGTTTGATGAGGATTGCTCCGAAGACTGTAAGTACTGTGCGCTGGTACGATGGAGACCCTTAATAGTTTTGCCTCGTGTAGTTGGACGCCCTCTTGGACGGGGCATACAACAACGAGATCGCTGAGTTCCATGTCATTGACTGTCGCTTCGACTACGAGTACAATGGTGGTCACATCCCTGGTGCCGTCAATATCAACACGACGTCTGGTGTGGAAGACTTCTTTCTGGGCTTAAACAAGCCGAAGCCATGCGTCAGCGGTGATTCTTCGAAGAAGACTGTTCTAGTCTTTCACTGCGAGTTCAGCGCAAAGAGAGCCCCGACTATGTAACGTACTTCCTTTCATTGGTTCTGCATGATTCTGAACGATGAAACAGTGCAAAGCACTTGCGCTCCAAAGATCGCGCGATGAACAATCATATGTACCCTAAGATCCACTACCCGGAGGTGTACATCCTGGAAGGCGGTTACTGCGATTATTACAAGCGATCGGCAGGGCGTTGCCAACCCCAAGGATATGTGATGATGGATGACCCTAGTCATGCAGTCTCTCGTCGCGAGGATTTAGACCAGTTCCGCAAGGCCAAGTTCGGCCGCACCAAGTCCTACGCTTACGGTGACCTGGGCTCCAAGGTTACAAGCATGACTCAGCAGCAGCAGCAACAACAACAACAACAACCGAAACGTAACACAGCTCCTGCAGCTGCAGGTGTCCAACTGTTCGCTGCCGCTAATGCTGCTCGAACCCGTCGCAATGGCTTGTCTACTCTTGCCGAGATCGGGAACATTACTCAGACCGACGATGAAGAAACTGATATCGGTGACAGTCCATGCCCTCCTCCCACTAAAGGTGCTTTGTCAAAGGCCAAGAGACTTGGCCGTGGCCCAATCACTCGCGCTGAGACTTTCGACGCTGCCCGCATGGCGGCATACTGATTTCGAGTTCGCCTCGTATTCATTTAGCTTGCTACAGCTTTCGATGCCCTGATGCTTTGATGGCTGTCGCATTACGCAGTTTTTGCTTTTAGCTCAATCTCTTTGTTAATCGCTCGTAGCTGGTTGCAAAGGCTACCGCTACCACGTCTTCTATCCGGAGCTTACTCAGACGGCATCATCCTATCGATTCTCTTTTCGTCCATGTCTTTCGTACGACTGCTCGGTCCTCAAAGTTCACGTCTCGTTACGGCACGTTTGATCTCTACGTTCGTTCTATATGCCTCATGCCCTCTCTCGCGCGCGCTTCGATGGACCAACCCTCACCGAATATCAGGCTGCAATGGAGTCTCATACTGCAAGTCTCGAATCATTCAAACACACCCCTTTCTTCATAGCATTCATCTCTCCCCAAATCAACACCCCATCTTCACGCCTATAGCCAATCGACCGACCGCATACCACGCTCCATTTGTCTTGACTATTTCGCAATTAAAACGGGAGTTTCGGTACAGCCAAACTTCTGTCCTCATCTGTGATTATATATGCGCATTGGACGGTTCATTCACCGCCATTCACCCACATTTCCTTGGTACATGTTCATGTCTTCCCCATTTTTATATTTATGACGCTTCTGGAGGCAGACTACCTATGTAGGTCCATTTGCGCCAGGTATCACCCCATTCCCCAGCATCTTGCGTTTACTTCTTATTCCTTTATCCCTTCTATTTCGCATCGGACTTTGATTCTTTTCGTAGTCATTCGATTCATATTGGAACGGTTGCAGAGTGCCCGGTGCGTACAGTATAACCTCTGCAGTTCCTTCCTACTTCTTGTATAGTCTTTTATTTATTTATCCTATGACTTGTTGATGATTTCCCTTGGTTGTGAGCGCGTGCTGGCCGAATTATTTGGTAAGTCACACTGCGACCAGTGCGATGAACACTTTGAGGGTCCGTCTTGTGCGACATCGTGCTGCGAGCGGTGATGTACAAGCGTACAACGCCCTTCGTATAATAGTCGTCGCTGGACACGCTATTCGATGCCTATTACATAGGCTTCGAAGTTGCGTTGTTCCATCATCCCGTCCATTATGGAAAGCAAAACAAATAGCAGGGAAAAAAAAGACTCGGATACGGGGAATCGAACCCCGAGCTACCGCGATCATATGAGAGGCGGTAATGTTGGCCGTTACACCATATCCGACTTGATCTATCCGTATTGACGGACGACTGTAAGAGGGAAAGGAAATAGTAAGAGGTTCCCCCTAAACGAAAATGAGCATTTACCATTGAGGAGCTGCATACATTATTGGTTCGTGCGGCTTGACATCGCCGATGTTCGTGCAAAACCACAAACCACTTGGGCGTCCGTGGTGCTCGGTTTCCGCGAGGGAGCGTCTTCATGGAGTGAGGCTGAACGAGGCAACGAAGACGTAGCACCATCATTGATGACTCGCGAGGTGACCATGTCGCCATCCTTCAAGTTACTGCTTAGTCACTTCAAGTTGTTAGAAGGGGGGGCATGTCGATGGGCCTCTGATTTGGAGGTCAACCGGTCATGGCCAGACCTGGTGCGAAGGTGGTCTGGAATCTCATTGGTGGTCTTGAATGTCAGCAAGAGCGCCAAGAGTGCCATCAGTATTAGGATGTTTGGGGCCGTCACAAGCACTCCAATGATGGCCGAGCCAGTCCTAGTACTGGACCTATAGACTTCAGTAGCGGGACACGACTTGAACGCGCTATAGTCTGGCACTGTGGGTTCTGGACACGTATGACAACCTCGTAAGCTCGCTTGTCGTTCCGGTTGCCCTCGAGCCTGAGATACCATATATTCACGAGAACAACCGCCTGCGCAGTGCTCCAAGCGTCAGAGCCAGGATGACGGCGCCTGGTTGCTCAGCGTAGTATGCTTCCAAGACGAAGGAAAACTCTGCTTTCCATGTGACGCACATCAGGATCTTGATCTCGAACATACATCCTTTGCGCAATTTCTCTGTTGTCCAGAATGTGAGGCGAGGTCCTTAGGATACATGTAACAGTGCAGCGGACAAAGGGCGTTATTAATACCAGATATCCTTGGGAAGTGATAACGGTGGTCATCAAGTCCAGTAAGGCCAACCTTTGAGGTGCTCTTCTGGTTGATGCGACACTGGCAGTAGTGGTGGGTCGTCTGTGACGACGATCGATCCAGGATTTTGAGAACGAGCTCGTACCTACGTAGTAACGGTGGATGGCTGGAGAGTGGGTGATACGTTCGGGACTTGCCTCATAGCTATCTGCATAACCTTTGCAGTAGGGTTGAATTGAATTGGCGCTATTCGAGGTAATGTTAGCCGTTGCACCAACTTACTTCCTCAGTACAACATCCACACCAGCCTTGATAAGCTTGATACTTAGTCTGAGAGGAAAACCATAAACAAGAGCTACACCAAGTAAATACGATACGACCCATGTCACAAGAACGGGGCATCTAAATCATGCTGGATAAACGAAGGCTCGGGGAAATACCTTGCCCTAACAGTTCTCCCACCAAAATACCTTCCATCCATCTCCCGCACGGTCTTCCATGCTCCAGAGGGCCCAGCGAACAGCACAAATATGCGTACAGCATCTTCAGGGTTTGGCGGAGGGGGATAACATGGATGCACAATGACACGCTCGACAGTTCCGTTCTTCGAGCATTCGTCACCTGTAGAAGCGGCGTGGGCCACGATGCACATGTAAGATTTAAAGTGTGTCTCACCGATTTCGTCCCGCAGTTCACCATCATCCAGGTCTTCAAGTCCCACCATATTCAAAAGCACTACCACGCGACTCGGCTCTCCAAACCTCGCGCGGTCCTCGAGCGTCCTGGCATCCTCATTATCATTGATAATCCTTCCCATCTTCGACCCTATCGCTGGCTTGCCGTGGCCTTGTGCGGGGGCTTTTTTGTTGCCTTTTCCTTTTCCTTTGCCGCCCTTGCCTTGTGTGACTTGTTCCACGGTAAGGGCGTTGATGATTCCAGTACCGTCTGCTCCTAGTCCTTGGCCTTCTTTGTGACCCCATTTTGCCATGAGGCGGGCAGCGAAGCCCTGTGGATCAGATCTGCGTGTGACAGGCGTTGGGGTCGGCCGAGGAATACTGATGATGTAAACAGACTGACCTATTGGACCCCCCTGCTTCTTGTGAAGGTTGAGCAGGAGCAGGAGAGCTAGTTCCAGGATCAACAGACCCCGAGCCGCCCGCAGCTGTGGTGGCGGCTAGTGCGCTTAACTTTGCAGCGATACTCGCGGCAGCCTTGACTTTATCCTCGAATCCGCTTGGGATATGGCCTGGTGGTGGCGGTGGCGGGACATTCGCAGGCGGTGCAAACGGGTTGTATGCCAAACGTGGGGGAGAAGGAGGTTGAGTAATAGGGGGAGGCATAGGTGGAGGATCCGCAGACACAAAAGGAGTGGTGGGTCCGAGTCCTTGGGTCATTGCAAGACGACGTTGATAGGCTTCGTCTCCTGTCTCTGCACGGACTGGTGCTGCCGCTCCTGGTCCGGTTACGTCAGGGTGAGAAGTCATATCAAGACCCGGGATGACATCGTCCTCATTGTCATCGTAGGGCTCAGATACCTCTTGGGCTGGAGTCAGAGAACCCTGGCTACCAGTAACCATAGCCAGATTTCCCTGGTACGCCTCCTCATTGGACATCTGTTGATCCACAGGAGGAGAAAGGGGTCGTGGAGGTGCCGCGCCATGCGACATTGCCATACGTCGCAGATATGCGTCCTCACCAGGCATGTTGCGATTCACAGTCGCTGTGGGAGGCTCGGGGGCACCGAGTCCACGTGGACGATCATCATCTGCACGAGACCAGTGGTCAAATGCATCATGGCCATCAAATCTCCCTGGAGTGCCGCAACCATCAGCAGTGAATTTTAAAGGTTGTCAGCGAAATTTGGCAGACCAGTTTTCCGAGGACGTTCGTCTTCACTCTCAGTGTCAGTTTGGTCACTACCCCCGTCCTTGGCCTCACGTGCACGTTTTCTTTCGGCCACTCGTTCTGCTGCTCGGTCGATACGGTCCCGTTGCTTCCACAATTTGTATTCGTTATAGTCGTTTGGCTTCAAGGGATCGTACTGCTCCATGGGATCCCAAACAACAACGGGCTGAACACTTTTGTTCTGAGATTCCTTGTCAAAAACCGTAACGAGGACTGTAGTTGATCACGCACCTTCTTTCCCTTCTTTCCACCGCCGCCACCTTTACGCCTTTGTTGGGTCTTGAAGCCATTGACATCTTCATCGAGAACCATCGAGGGGGGCTTCACTTTCTTTCCCCAGCCTTCCTTCTTCCGCCATCCGGTATTTGCTTCGTCCTTGGCTTCAGCTCGGTCGTTGCTAGGTGTGACAAGCTCCGGCGGGGCGAACACGACAGCGGTGGCGGAGACAGAGCCGACGGAGGTTCCCGGTATTGGAGGGGGAACGGCGGTCCATCCCGACGTAGCTGTCGAAGGGGGCATTGCCGTCGCTCCTGGAGGTAGCCTTGGAACGGCCTGTTTTGCCTTAGGTGGAGCCCTCCGAACGGGCGCAAATGCGAGTGCGGCGGACCACCCTGAATGTTCGCGAGGGGATGCGTGAAGGCGGAAGCGAGCGGCATTGCAAAACGGTCATGAGTGCGAGACGGTCAATATTTGACTGGACATATTAAGGCGCAGGGGAGGGAGAGATACCGGCTGTAGATTTTCCTGCCACCGACCCAGACCCAGATCCTACTGACGTCGTCCCTCCTTCATCGGCTTTAGTAGTACTTGCGTGTGCCTCATGCGTGTCAGATGGGGCATTTGAAACTTGCACTTTCTCGGTGATTTGTGTTGGTGCCGCTGTTACAGGTGCTGGCAGGGGCGGGGCGGGGGTAGATGAGGAGGAAAAGTTGACTGTCGCGCCTGAGGAGAATTGGATTCCACCATAGAGACCTCCTGCTCTGCTCGACATACTGGAAAGCGTTCACAGGTCAAAGTTGCGTGTGAATTCCTAAGGTTGCATTTCTGATTACTTTTATCTTAGCTAAAATAAACAAATAATAATTGATACAGTAATATTCAAACCACATGTTGTGTATGTTAGTCGGTTGAAACTTGACAATGCTACAATTGGTGTGCAGTAAGACAGTCCGATGATGATCCAAAGCCAGAAGAAGGATAGCGGTCTAATGGCTAATATATTGGAAAACGAAGGAAACCTCTGGAAAGCCGAGCTCGGCTCGAAGGAGATCGTCATGGTTTTCCTTCAGCTCCGCATTCGTGAAATGATTCCACCTAGAAAATGTGCACAGCGTCAGATTTTATGTCCACATACGAAGCGAAGACATAGCAAAGCAATGTCAGGTAGAAGAAATAGCAAGTGTCACATACGTGCTCGCGTCCCCATAAAGCAGCGCGCTGCTCTTGATGACTTGTTTCCCGTTCTTACACCTCTTACATTTGAACGTGTCGTGTGTATCGCATAACGTGTTTTCATTGAACGTGAAGAGCTGTCTGAGAGACTCGAGCGAGAAATGCCGTTCCGCATCTTCTTTTTCGTCGACCACGGCGGAGGATAGGGCTTGTTTGGAGGCTTGGCGCTGGAAAATCTTTTCTTCGATCGTTCCGGTTGAGATGAATCGGTAGACAAAACCTATCGGTCGTCAATGGGCCTGAGATGAGATCCCTCACGAGATACCAGAAACAGGTGCATACATTCTTTTTTCTGTCCATCACGCCACACACGAGCGAGGGCCTGTTGATCAGCAGCTGGATTCCAGTCTAGAGCCCCGCCTCACCCGTCAGTTGCGCATGCGTGTAAGGGAGACACACGTACCAGGATCAAACAAGATCAGTCGGTTCGCACCAATAAGGTTGATACCACACCCGCCAGCTTTCGAACTGAGCAAAAAGATAAACTCTTTGCCATTGGGATCGTTGAATTGATCGACAAGCTTCTGACGCTTGATGATCGTCATCGTACCGTCTAGGCGGAAGAAGCCATACCTTAGAGTGGGGGAGAAACATAAGACTAGAAAAAGTGAGAGGGCACTGAACGACACGCACTTCTTACTCCGGCAGAGCTTCTCGAACAAGTCCAGCGTTTGGGTATAGTTACTAATGAGCACAATCTTGTCGGTCGTCGTTGTTCTGATTTGGTGAAGGAACCTATCACGGTAAATGGGTTTCAGTCACGCATAAGTAATGTTAAT